AATTTCTCAACCAACTCATCTTCGACAAAGCCTCCATCCACCTACCACTGGGGAGAGAGAACCTATTCAGTAAATGGTGCTGGGAAAACTGGCTGACCACATGCAGAAGATTGAAACAGGACCCCTGTCTATCCCCATACACAAAAATTAACTCCAAATGGATCAGAGACCTAAATGTACAACCTCAAACCATAAGAACCTTAGAAAATCAAGGACATACCCTCATGGAAATTAGAACTGGCATCCAGTTCCTGAACAAAACCCAAAACCCACAGGCCATAAGAGATAAGACAGACAAGTTGGACCTCATTAAACTGACAAGCTTCTGCAAAGCCAAAGAAACCATCAAGAGAGCAGAGAGACAGCCTACAGACTGGGAAAAAGTATTTGCCAACTCCGGGTCTGACAAAGGCTTAACATCTTGGATCTACAAGGAACTCAAGTGTGCTGAAAAGAAAAAAACAAACAACCCCATTATAAAGTGGGCAAAAGATATGAACAGACACTTCTCAAAGGAAGACATCCGAGCAGCCAACAGACGCATGAAAAAATGTTCAACCTCACTAATCATCAGGGAGATGCAAATCAAAACCACACTGAGATACCACCTAACTCCAGTCACAATGGCAATTATCAATAACTCAAAAAATAACAGTTGCTGTTGAGGGTGTGGCGAAAAGGGAACACTTCTACACTGTTGGTGGGAGTGCAAACTAGCATAACCTCTGTGGAAAACACAATGGCAATTCCTAAAAGCTCTAAATATTGACCTCGCATATGACCCCGCAATCCCCCTACTGGGAATATACCCTGAAGAACTCAAATCACTCTATAAAAAAGATACCTGCACACGTATGTTTATCGCAGCACTGTTCATAACAGCAAGAACCTAGAAGCAACCATGCTGTCCATGAAAAGAGGACTGGATTAAAAAAATGTGGCACATATACATGATGGAATACTATGCAGCCATAAAAAAGAACAAAATCATGAATTTTGCAGCAACCTGGATGGAACTAGAGCCTATAATACTGAGTGACCTCTCACAGAAACAAAGATCACATGTTCTCACACATATAGTGGACCTTGAACATCCAATGTAATACTATAAGAAAATGACTGACAGTGGTGGGAAACTATGGGGGGAAAGGAGATGGGATTAATGGTAGTAAATATCTGTCTGGGGATGGGGAGACACCTCTTATCAGCAAGGGTGCCTGAACAAAGCATATTTGTATACCTAACCCTTACCTATACCCCACAATATAATAAAAAATGTTGATTAAAAAAAAAAGAAAAAGAAAAAAAAAACCAAAAAAAAAAAGGTCTGCTTTTCTTGAATTCTATTATTAATTCAACAAATAATTACCAAGTACCAAATATGAGCAAGTATAATGGCAGGTACTATGATGGATATAAATATATCTATGGTACATTGCAGAAATTCTATTCTAGTAGTAGTATATTCACTAACATGCTTTAATTAACATTTAAGCATATATCATAAGTGTAAAATAAGGAAAGACAAATAAATATACTCTAGAAATTAATTTTAAATTGGGTATGTAGTTTTATATTTCATTTTTCAAAAGCATTATTAGAAATTCACTAACTTGTTCATCTGAAACAGAATTCCCATTTAAGTCCGAGGAGGGGCTTGTCCGATCACATGGAAGATTATCATCAGAGACATCAGTATTATAGCCACTGCCAGTTGGAGAATCAGAAGAATTATTTGATGTCAGCACTCCACCTCGTTCTGTGACACTAGCTTTACCCATAATTCCAAAACTATTATATAAAACAGCACCAGACTGTCTTCCTCCTATAAAAATAAAGGAATTTATTTAAAACAGTGGATAAGTGTCTTAATGCTGTACCCTACAATGTCCATGTACAATATTCTAACAACCATTTTCTTCTCACCAACACTCTGCCCTTATCTATTAAAGTGATGTATGGCTAAATTACCAGGTAAGTAACTGTAGGCATACCAACTACTATGTATTATTATTGTAGATACTACATACAAACCTAAAGTAAGTCTAATGCACAATTCAAACTTCCTATTTTAAAATATAAAAATGAAATTTGTAGTAAAGAGAAAAAATATTACTCAAAAAATTAAAAATAAAATATTACTCAGTAACATAGAAGAAAGCAAATATAATCTTTAGTAAGTATTTCACTGAATAAAGAATTTACAATGTTTAAATCCTATATGGAAAACTTCTACTAGTCAGAAATCCAGTTTTCAAACACAAAAAGTTTCAAAAAACTAGGTGTCTTTATATGTCATTTGGGAATTTTTTCTGAATCACAGATTGTTTAGTTCAAACATTATGGTTTGATCTATCAGTATGCTCTGTCTCCTTTTGAATAGCAGAACAGAAAAAGCTCCACTTCAACAATTTGAATGGGTATTCACCCCTTGGTGAGTAATACCAAATACCACGTTTTCTGCTTTATTATGTTGACTCAGGTTACTGAAAGTCACAATTAACAAAAATATTTCAGCAATGTAAGGCCTATCTGTCCCTCACTTAGGCAGAATTCAACAACAACAAAAAAGCTTACCTTTTATGGTTAAATTTTCAAGTCCACACTCAAACATTATCCAACCCCATTTTTCTTGGCTAGGACCTATTCGAGTTACATCTGGAACAGTCTGCTGATCAGTTTCATCCACAAAAGTGAATTCATCCATCTCCTCAAGAGTGAATAAAACTTTGGATTTCTCAAAAGGAATAGCAGTGATGGCACATGTCCCAATGTCTATTGTCAAAAGAGAGCAAAACACCCTTTTTAAAGACAGAAGTTTATATAAAAAAAATTTAAACACTTGGCACACTGGTTATCTTAAAAAGATAGAAAATACACTAAATAAATGAACCATGAATAATGGTTTTTTTAGAATAATGCTGCCCAGGAGGAAGAAAATAAAATCCCATAAGTAACAAAAAATTGCTCAAAAGTAGTATGATTTCATTTCTGAAAGATTATACGATACTCTAAAAATATAAAATTAAAAGGCCCCTAAATAATTCTGCTTCATGGTAGTTTTAAATACTTTCATCATTTTACAAAATAAAAAATTATTGTAATTAATTATCCAGCCTTTGAAAAAACACATTCTTTTCTAGGAAAATCACAACTTTTCTAAAAGCCTGCTTTATGCTAACATATTTTATATAACTAAAATTTATCATAGGTGTTGTCATAACTCCAATGCTTACAGATGCAATATGAAAATTAACATTGTGAATGCATGGAAGTTTTGTTTTATCTTGCTTTTTTGCATTTCTTTCTTTGATTACAGCTAATAAATACAGAAAAACAAAAAGAATACAAAAACCATGTGTAAATTTAGCATTCAGTGATACCTTGTTTATATTTTAAGTAAACTGCCTTCCAGCCTTTTAGAGACCATTTTGCAAACCCAGCTTTGGTTCCATTCTTCAGGTAACAGCAAACCACGATAATTTCCTCAGATCATTAAACATTTGTCAAAGATAGCATTTTAGTAGCTATATAATATTCCATCATATGGAAATACTATTCTTTGCATTTATAATTAGAAAGTCTTTCCTGACCAGGGAGCAAATATTTGCCTATAATTTTCTCATTACTTAATTATTTTATATTTGTCTTTAATCCCATGAAATTATTATAATGTATAAGGTGAAGATTTAACTTCAATATCTTTAAATTACTTGATTAGATAATACACTCATATTTATCAAAGTTGCAAAAATTATAGAAAAGTATATAATGAAAGGTCTCCTTCAATATTATTTAAGATATTGCTTATGGTCTGTTCAACACCAAAGTACAAATGGTTATCAGTGTAAACTACAGAGCTGAGAAAAGTCTTTTTTTACTCAAGCCACCATATTTTGCACCAGTTTCACAACTACAGAGCTCAGGTAATTATGAAAAGTATCTTGAAAACATCAGATCAAATGCTTTGGGTCTTGTACACAGTATGGTAAAATAAACCTTGAGAAAGTCACAGCAGTAACAAACACAAAATACAGACAGGAATCACGACACCTTTAGAATTTACAAAATACAGTGAACAAATTCAAGGAGTTCATTAGTTCATTCAGGATTGGTCATCTGTCCCACATAGAGATTTTAGCAGAGAAATCCAGTTTTTCTGGATTGAATTTCTGACATTCTGAGATCATTTACAACTCTAAGTGAGAAAATGTGCTAAATGAAGTAAAAAATTTAGAAATAGTGTATAACATCTCTACTTTTCTTTTAAATCACGAGGGCCTTTAAAAGGAATGTTTACCTCTCTTATTGCCACCATACTTTATAGACAATGCTCACTGATTTTGATTAAAATTGCAATTAATTATTTGTAATGAAGTTTTACAAATAGAAAGAATAGAAAATGAGAAAGACTATACAGATCATGCTCCCTCTGTTCTATAATGAGCAAGCAAATGGCATGATGAAAACACACAGGGGACAGAAACAATTCCTAATGTGGGGCCATGCCACTTACTTTCTTCCCAAAGTTTACCTTCAATTCTGCACAATATATGAGTAATAAGTAGTTAAATACCATGTGTTCAATATATGTAGAAACACTGTTCTCTTTCTTATAAAATATTCAAATTGGAGCAATACTCGGAGGAAAACTAACCACATTCCCTTGTGGAAAATTCTCTTACATTTATACATACCAAGAAAAAACATATTTGTTATAGAATCTTACCTGTTGTATCAAGACCCCTAAGTTGCCCATGAACTCGATGGATGTTTAATTTGGCTGCAATTTCTTTGCCTTTCTCTGCTCCAGCATTTGATCTGAGAGATCCAGAAGACTGAGGCTGCATCTTAGTGGCATGAACATATCTATCAAAATTTGATATTCTACCAGGTTCTGCATTGTTTGAAGTCTCTTCAATCACACCTCTATATGAAAAAAAAGCACAATGCTTAACATTTAAATAACATAGTTCAGTGAAAACATTTAGGTAAAAGATTTACTTCCTTAAAAAAACCACTCTGCTATTTTAAGTAAGTCAATAGTAATAAAGTCCTCAATGTTTACTGAAAGATATGAATAAAGACAGTACAGGCATTTAAAAAGATACTTTACTAGCCAGGCTCGGTGGCTCAGCCTGTAATCCTGCGCTTTGGGAGGCTGAGGTGAGTGAATTGCCTGAGCCTGCCGGTTCGAGACCTGCCTAGGCAACTTGGCGAGACCTCATCTCTACAATAAATAAAAAATTAGCTGGGTGTGGTAGCCTGTAGTTCCAGCTACTTGGAAGGCTGAGGTGGAAGGATCGCTGGAGCCCAGCAAGTC